GTATGTTCCTCCAGAATTCAGTAAATCTTAGCCAACGAAGGTATACATATGCAACTACTGTAGCACCCAAGAAATGAACACCAGCCACAGAAATCCTCGGTCCCGGGCAAACTGGCGGAATCACCTTTAGCAGCGCAGGAGCACAGCAAACCCTCAGTCCTGGAGTATTTGTTCCTAACCTGAACGGTTCTGGAATTTCTGGACATGGAGTGATATAGAAAATCTATTAATGCAATTTCATGCACTCCGGATTTTTTTTTGTCCGATGACATGGGTCAATCGGGTATCCAAATTCCAAGAGGTCAGTTTCTGGCGAAAATCAGGGATCCAGAATGGAATCAGACTACAACACAGATGAATATCAGAAGAAATCGAAGAACCAGAATCATATCTCAATAAAACATAGTGAAACTCCTATGATGCTTGAATCTACTGATGTATTTTAGCTATTTTCATCTATTTCCTACATGCAGAAAGTGATCCCGCCAGCATTTCTGGCTCAGTCCTCTCTGGCACGACCGCCTCTGGAGCAGAGGCGTCCTCCAATCGTTCAACGTCGATTCGGTCGTTGACCATGGAAAGTTCCATGAACATTGGTCAAGAAGGTATTAATGTGGGACCAGTTGATTGATGATTAGTTGAAGGATTATACTAACATATACTAACCAAGAAAAATTGGGCAATTTTTTCAGGTTCCCCAAGTCATGGTACCCCCAAATCATCTCAGTCAGACCATGACTTAGTAAACCCATAGGTCACTTGGAGATCCGGCATTGAAACCGAACAATTAATGGAAGCTTCCGTTCAATTTACTAATGGAACAATTAATGGAATGCAAATCATTTCTGAATAGGAAAATCATGGAAAATCAAAAAGGCTTTTCACAACTATCTTATATAGATTATTGGAAGGTATCTCATGATTCACCTGTGGTTTTACTTACCATCCATCATTCATCTATCATTCCCTGTGAAGGTAAGCTTGCGCCATAAATCACCATAAAACCATGTGTTGCGACGTATGTCCTGTCCATTGTCTGCGGTGGGCAACGCTGTGGCTGTTGCCACCGCGGATGGACCGCCTGCGGTGAATGATGGTGGTTGGGAGATCGTACGGGTATAGGATGCTTGGTGCGTAATATCTACTATTTACCTACCTATATATGGGTAAACACGTGTGTGAACCCACACATGTGTATATATATATACATACACATAACTAATAACTATGTATCTCTAACAATTGCCTTCTATATGTGGGTAAACAAACTTTAGCAGCCCCAAAAAAACATGCCGACAAATCAACATCCGACTGAAACAGCGGTAAATCTTATCGACATCTATTTGTTCGGGGGTTGTGAGACAACCATGGTATGCAACCCAGCCATAGTAGAATTTTGAGCAACATCATATGGGAATATGGCGATATCATGACCAAATGGGGAAACCTCAGAACCGGAGGAATAGGAACTTCTGGGACCCACTGAAGATCAATACCAAGCCCGGCTTGGTGGATATACACATCTATAATATGTATATAATATGTATATACACATATAATCATATACATAATACATATCTATTTCTATTCTATGTGTACACTGTGTACATAGATAGCAATATCATCCAATATCATGTTGTAGTTTCTTGTAACTTGCTTTTTTCCTCTGAATCTTTGATACCCCTCATCATGTTCGGTCTCATCCCACGCCTAGAGAAACCAAGGCCTCCAAAGCCTGGAGCGCTGCGAGAAGATGCACATATTTTCATGCGTAGATCTACTGGGCACGGATAGAAACTTAATAAGAATAAATATGTTAGATACATGTATATATATATATATAATATGTATATATATAATATGTATATATATAAATATATATAATATGTATATATATAATATGTATATATATATACACATATTATATCATATTATATATGGATGTTCGGCCAAAGATTCACTGGGGGTTTAGTCGCTTCAAAGTCAGTTTAGGATCTATTTGGAGTTAGTATAGGGTTTATCTAGGGTTAGGATTTCTTCCGGGTTCGTTTTGATTTCCTTTCGGCGTGGTTTAGGATTTGTTCAGGTTTGGTTTCTTTACGGTTGGCTGAAGTTTTTCAGGGTTGCTTTCAGGTTTCATTTCATGCTTGGGGTTAATCACGTCTAATGAACTGAAACAAATAGGCTTTGGAACTTTACCTACTCGGCAGACAAGTTTATCAAGTTTGTTTATTTTCTTGGGGGCTATGATGGGCTATGGTTTCTTTGAAATACCTCCAAGTGGGGCTCCTTGACCTTCAAAATCGATACGTCGGTACCTCCAAGTTTCCCATTGTCACAGCGGTCTTGATGGCCAGCCCTTCATGGCGGTTCAGTAAGCAACAGGCCTGGCGCGACGGACAATTCTGATCCCAATTCGGACAGTTTTCACATGTTTTCACCAACTCTGGAGATAAATGGTGTAACAACGGCAAGAAAACTGTGGGAATTTCGGCCAAATCGGGGTAACAGTTGTCCGATTTCACAAAAGTCTGCTGGGAAAACAGTGGTATTCCACTAGCACGTCTTTACACATGGCAGGTGCAAAGCTGCCATGGGGGCAAAGTGATGAGTCAAAATGGATGGTGAAAAAGGGTTAACATATGTCAACATGACCAATCAATTGTGAGATTTTTCTATGGATTCGTGTCAACCCAAATGTTGACCCTGGTTGATTGTCAGGGGGTTACCCCAAATTGTGATATCTGCTACTCAAATTCCACCGGGAACCACCAAAAAGGCGTGCCAGGACGACCCAACTGCGAAGGATGCGATTCAGGAGATCACAGCTGCCCTGCACGGAAAATGAAGCAACCAATGCAGATGTACCAACTGTGAATTGGTGGTCAATGATGGTATGACCATCATCAAATTTAGCATTTTTCGTGCAATTTTTCTTTCACCGAGTGATTGTTGGATGACATTTGTCATCCCATTTACCTCCATTTTTGCCCAAACGGGGCCTCAGGCCGTCGAATGGCTGCCAGCAAGAGGCTGTGAAAGCCCTGCCGGAAAGGATGACGACTTGCGGAATTCAACTTGCTATGGAGAGGTTTTTTGTGGAATTTATGATGGAACTTACCAGTTGAAATTGATGTGCCCAGCAAAATACCATGTTTTCAGGGTGGCCAGTGCTTGGTGTGTGAAACTTCTGGTTCCTCATCTGCCTTGCTCGAATTGTCTGAATGTTTGTGGATGGCTTCAGGAGGCTTAATCATGTTGAACATTTCCAAACTTTGCTCGACACATCTCCGTTTTGTTGATTGACCGAGTTGACATTACTATGATTTGGTAGTTAATAGTTGTATCTCCATTTTGATGGCAATTTCTCCTCGCTAAAATCCTCATTCGGACGACATGGCGCCGTAAAAATATGTTCATGTATATAGGAAACTTATCTACACATGGTAGATGTGTGCCACATCTACAGTAGGTTAAGTATCAGAGGAGCCGGCTCCTCTAACCTCCCAGACTATCGCGAATCTTTCAACGTGTTCGACTTCTTGTAAGGCTGGTACTCAAAATCTGATCTTCAGATTCAGATCAGATGCCAATGATGTTTCCATATGTTTCCCACCCATATTTTCCAGGCCAACTTTTCGTTCTCGTTTTGGGGTTGCTGCTGTAAAATCCCATTGAGATGACTGTGAAGCCTGGATTCAGAAAGCCACTGGGCCAAAACCTGACTGGTTTTAAGCCCCCATAAGTTGGGATATGGGGCTACAACTATCGTCATATATACACTTAGCTCATTGGAACTGCACTATACTGCACTAAGTAGGTATACATATCAAAATGGATGATATTCCTCGCCAATTTTAGAGTTGACGATCTCAATGATCTAACTAGGCGAACTGAGCTCAACAATGCTCCCTATGGCCTCCGCATCCATATCCAGCTCGAGTCCAAGTCCGTTCTGCGGCAGCTCTTTGACGCCCACTGATAATATTGGGAGATATGGAGTTTAACCGAAAATAACAGGAATATGATAAGGATTTAATGGGGATATATAACATAGGATATACCATTGACTTTTGTCTGACAAAAGAGAACTGACTAAATTCTCGTTGATCATGATTTTTTACCATTCAAACTGTGGGAATTTCCCATTCATCCCCAAAATCAACAAAAACTGTAAACTTTACAGCCTTTTGGTCAATCCCATTGAGTTAGTAGCCTAGTAGTTACCTGGCCTATGAGATCAGCGTATCGGTTGGGGATTTTTGGTCATTTTGAGGTGAGGATTGCGAACATAAATTGAACCCATTGGCTCAAGTGATTGAAACATGTGAAACTTGGGTAACACGTGCTTTTTTTGACCACTAATGTCACGGACGGTGGATCAGTGGAAAATCGAACAATATCGAACATAAATAAGCACAATTCAGCAAACCTCCAGGATCTATGGTCAATCGAGTGGGAACTACTATCTACGAACAAAGGGTCTCTGGTTGGGTCTCTGGTGCCATTGAGATTCTGTGGGATGAGTGGCTAAGATGATAACTGACAACTAGCCTCTGGTAATGACTAACAGTTTGCTATTGAACATGGTCATTTAGAATCATTTAGACATAGTTGATTTACCATTAAAATGGTGATTTCCCATAGCAAACTGTTAGTTTACCAGAGGAAAATTTAACCAATTCACTAGGTGCTTCATCAAGAAGTTGGTCCCTAGGCACTTGCCGATGGTCCTGAAAGAGAGTTCTTCTCCCATCAAGAACGTTATTTCTTTCACAAACCAACAGGTCTTAATATATCTAGATTAGTTAGTTATATTTATATTTATTATATCCCATATCATCCAATAAAACTAACCATTGGATTATTTGTTTCCGAATAAAGCTGGTTTTAAGACATGTTTTCCGGGCAACCATCTGGCTCAGGGCAAATTCTTTGGAACCCCATCAGCAAAACACAAAGCTTCGCTTTCAGACTTTCAGTACATATCATGCGCCTTCAACAAATATGATCCCATCTTTTTCTTGAGGGGGCTCCAAGTTCCAACTGTTCTTTTACTTCTAAAAAACCTCTTTCAGGAACCCATGCAGCCGATGCTCTGCACTATGCTGTGTCCCCGCACTTGGTACAAATCGAGGCAGCGTTGCACTGCAGTCTCGTCGCTGAGCGAGGGGCGGAGGGCCTGGTGGGTCGGAAAGTGGGAAAGTGGTGAAAAGAAAATGAGGATATCCCAGCCATGATAGCAATATAGTATATATGGTGGATATAATCAGGGGGATATTCTATATGTGGTGGATATATTGAGGAAATATAGTGGGGATAGAATATAATCAGGATATGGTACCCTCTAACGTGTAGAAAATAAACTGTGAAAATAGATCGTTTACCTATTAAACCTGGCTCCGTGGCTACATTCGTTTACTGGTCCCACTCAGTGAGATGAAGGTGTTGTCGTTTGCGTTCGTTTGCGGTGCCTGGAACCGACAATGTGGCTAATTTATGTTTAAGTAATGTTTATTGAACTTTATTAATCTATTTCTATAGATTCTATCTATTTCCAAGGCTCATGCAGTGAAGAAGTATTGATCAATCGTCAACCACCTGATCAGAATGGGTCCATTACCAACTGCTCATCGTCAATCAATATAAGTTCCAAATAATTTTTCTGGTAATCCTAACCTGCGACTGATGGGAAAGTCAAGGATCGTCATCGATTTTATTGCGACTTCATGTAGGCAATGTAGGCCACCGAAACAAATGATCTGAAATCATGGCTGGCTCTATCCTGTTTAAACTCACCAGAGGCGGCTCACGTTCCCTATTGGCTGTCTACTTTTTTGTGTTGAACATGCTCGGGGACCCCATGGGACCCAACATCGGGGCCATGGGTATGGTATATCCATTAATATGTGGTTAATGATGATGGTTATGATGATGGTTAATGATGGTTAATAATAATCTGGTTGGTGGTTTGAACCTACCCCTCTGAAGAATATGAGTTCGTCAGTTGGGACAGTTGGGATGATGATTATTCCCAACTGAATGGAACAATAAAATTCATGTTCCAAACCACCAATCAGATAACCTCAGCTGCACCCCAAATGCAGATCTGATGCCTCGGGTAAAACGTCGGTCGAACCGCACATCCTCGGGCGATAGCGGGCACAACAACTTGGATGATGTCTCTGTCTCGAATTCAAACCTAGAGCTATGTAGAACTGATATGAACTGATGTGATTGCCCATTCTGAAGTTGGACCTGGAAAAAAATGGGTGATGGGTGTCCCAATGGTGGGTCAAATTGCATGGCTCTGACCCGCGTCGGAGCTTGGCATGGCGCCATGTTCGGTCAAATTTGGAAATCCAAAAAGGGAACACGCAAACTACCAGCATGCCAACCCCGAATCAATACACTGTTTGGGTGTCACTCCAATTTCAACAGGTTGACATTAGTTCGATACCCTCCGGTACTAGCGTGGCTTGCTGGAAGCCATGCCCCATTTAGTTCGATGATTTTCCCAGCGCAACGATTTCCTAGCCATACTGGCACTGAGCCCATGGCTCAGCCGGAGACACATCCAGCAGCTTCCAGTGCTCCGCTTCAAGCTCTTTACTTTCCTGGTGAAGCTGCGATGCACAGCGGCCACATCCCAAACTGCAGCCACACCTGCTGCCTTTGTACATGTCCCTTTCGACAGCTGAACTGAAACATCAATGCTATGCAATGCAAAGTGGATTGACAGCTGTATGCACAGGCATAAATATATATATATATTTATGTATATATATATATATACACACACACACTCTCTCTCTCTATATATATATGTATACACATGGTATGTACCTGGGGTAAATGTTTCCCAAGCATCATTTGGCTTTGTCTGAAAAAAACGGATACCCGAAGAATTGCTTTCTGGTTTACAAGGTTGGGCCCTTGTACTGTTGTGTTTTTGAAGCCCATTTTTTGTGCATAGGTATATATATCATATATATGTTTTTTCCACCATCAATGGTACCCGCAGAACCAGACGTTCGCCCATGCTCACATAATCTCCGTTTTTGCCGCGGTTTTAACACTTCCCTCATCCAAATCCACAGGGATTCCCTCCATGATTCCATCATATTTACCATTGGTTCCATAATGCCACATTTTTCCCATGATGTACCCTATGTTCAATCAATTCCATCATTACAGAAGAATCTAAATCTGCCACCGCCTCCAACCAATACGTATAAAGGTCTTTTAATGATTATGTTGTATTCTCTCTTATGGAATATACAAGTGGTGCAAAAGTACCGCTTTCTGCGAGAAAACCTAGGATCCGGGAGAACCAGACATTTATGCCAAGAACCCTTCCACGACTTCATGAGGGTCTGTTGAAAACTCGGGTCTTTTTACCCGAAAAAACATAGGCTCGGGGCAAAGGTCCGGATCTGTGCGCAATGGTAATATAAATCACAATTATATGATTACCCTAAATCCACCAAAAATTATAGCCCATAAATAAACCATAATTAAAATAATATATAATTATCATACCCTCAAATGTGCCAAAAAAGGGTCCCTGCCATTTTTCAATGCACAGGTCCTGCGGATCGCAGGCGGATCGCGTTGCTTGTGTTGCGTTTGCCCCTGCGGATCGATCATTGGGAGGGGAGAGGACTTACGGAATATTTGGGGGTTGCCTTGTGAACATCGAAATTCCATTCCCATCATATGTTGGTTGGTGGTTGAGTAAAACAACCCCTCTGAAAAATCATGGAGTGTTCGTCAGTTGGGATGATTATTCTATTCCCAATATATGGGATGATGACATTCCCAAGATATGGAAAGTCATAAAACATGTTCCAGTCACCACCAACCAGTATTGGATTTGACGGTTTGCTGCTTCAGGCAGTTCTTTGTCGCTAGGACCATCAAGCCCGAATTAACAAGTAGACAATAGTAGATACCCATAGATACCCTAGAATTCGCATTTTCAAAACCTCCTTTTGGCCATTTTCTATGGCCATAGGTGGCCATAGCTGGTAAGTTGATGTAAGTTGAAGCTTCTCCCATTCCTTTCCTGTGCCAGCGGTGCCGGTAGCTGCTGAGCTTTCTGCTTCGGCCTGCCATAGCTGAACTCTGCATGATTTGGAAGAAATGTACACGTGTGTGTATATATATATAGTCTATATCTATATATCATATAGTCTACATTTTTTTTTTAAAAATCATTTTTTTTCGGGATACCATTAAAATTTCAACCACTTGTTCAGACGATGTTTGAAACACCATCAGAAAAAAACATCGATTCCAAACCCTCGGAATACCTCATAGTCACTTTGAACAGATCAAAAAAAAATCATTCGCGGCAACTTTTCGATCACATACACAACGCTCAAATGTGGGTTGTATCCCTGTTGGAAAAGGATACTCCTTTACCCCTGAAACGTCTACCGTAATATGACAAGCATCTCTCAGATTTTTTCTCATGGAGAGTTTCCAAGTTCCAGCTTGCACTTACCGGCTATACCCTCTGGTAATTTGTTACGTAGCTCTTGAAAACGGCTCATTAACAGTTGATTTACCTATTAAAATGATTTTACCAATGGTCATTTCCCATAGCAAACTGTTGGTTTACCAATACCTATCCAATCCTCTCCATCTCATTGCGGTCTCCTCGCTGAGAGCGATGGCGGCCAATTTGGCTTCTAGGAGGCAAAATTGCTCCTGCCGGAATGTCCGAGGGAGTTTACCAGATCTTCGGGTGAATGGGAGATATAACTGGTATGACATGGTATGACCTATTAAACAAATAGCTTAGAAATGACACACTCAACTTCAATGGAATTCAGGATGTATCCTATGAGAATGGATCATTTTCTTCGGGACATTTTCCTCTCCAGGATGCCCCTGTATGTCATATATGCCTGTTTTAGGGGAGAACCGTTGGGTTCTAAACCACCAAATCCAATGGTTTATCCACCGATGATCTGAGCACTGGAGAACATCAATTTTTTGGTGGTAAGCCATCGGATTGATGACGTACATGGGTGGTGATTTTCTCGGCGACCCTTTTTTCGAGCGAATTTTCCATCGCTTCATCCTTTTCCCATTAAACATCATTAAACTGGTCTAATCCTTTGGCAGTTTGGGATTCAAAGTGGTGAACTCGAGTGATCAAACAAATCTATTAAAAATATTTAAACATATCATGTTTCCAACTGATTAAAAGTGGACAAGCTTAGAATCCTTTGATGCGGCAGCTCCTCCTTGATGTTGAACTCAGCTTGCCAGTACTCAGCCGCCTAACAGTCAACTGGGCAACCTCTATCCATTTTAGATCTACCAAAGATATGACTTAGCAACGATTATCAACAGTTTCTGTCCACTTTAGATCACTTTGCATACATAAATTTAGACAGATATATTACATCGTGCAGATTTCATAGACTTTTGGAGATGTAGATTGGGGGGATACATCTGGGTGTGTGCAGTCTCAAGAGGCAGCAACTGGCCTATGAAAGCTTCACTAGCAACTTCATCAAGAATCATCCGGCCATGTTTTCTTTTTACAACAGGATCAGCATGTTGACAGTTGTGTCCACACCCTCCACTGTTCACCAACAGAAATTACTTATGGGGTTCCTGGTAAAGTTGGGCAGCTGGGTGTTTCTCATAGTTGTTCATGATCCATGTAGAGATGATTTCTGTCCACTGCTTCCCATTGTTGGTATACGAACCATCGTCGGTCTGAAGGGTAACTATTGAGTCATTAAGGTGATCCAGACCATTTAAGACCATTTCCTATCCCTTGGTTTACTTTCACCAACGACCAACATCGATGTTGCTTATTAAAACATATTGAAACCTCGAAATCTACATTGGAGGCGCAGTTCGAACTGTGGATATAGTTCACCATAGGTTTGTTGGGGGCACATATCCCAACTTACTGGGTCAATTCCTGATCGAACCCTCAAACTTCCCCGGTTTTTTAGTTGTACCACACCATCCCCATCTCTGGTAGATCTAGCAACTAGCTGCTTGATATTTTTTTAGCCAAAAACATATCTGGTTGGTGGTTGAGTAAAACAACCCCTCTGAAAAATCATGGAGTGAAAGTCAGTTGGGATGATTATTCTATTCCCAATTAAACATGGAAAGTCATAAAATTCATGTTCCAAACCACCAACCAGTAATGCTAGTTATGGGATTTTCTATGGCAAATGGGATTGATATATGGAAAAAAACATGTTCCAAAGCACCAACCAGATCATCCAGTCACCACTTAAGCCACGATCCAGTCATGTGGGGTCACCCTGGGGTGGCGCGGAACCCGCCTCGCGGTGCCGCCGAGCACGATCCTCCGCGTCTTGCAGCTGTTCTTTCACTTCGCTGCAGGCCTTGAGCCTGAAGCATGGCTTAAAGCATGCCGTTTGGGCCATGTTTTGGCACTGAAATATATTGAAATATATGTTGAAATAGATTGACATCGAAAGCTAAAGAACTTGGGGGTGATCCACTCGTGATCAAAACTCACCGAAAATGGCGAAACAGTCCGCGGTTCTGTTTGCCTTTGGTTCAGTGGCTGGGTGGTTTTAGCCCATCCCCAAAAATATGCAAAAGTCATCTTGAAATCCTCAACGAGATGACCAAAATGCAATTGGTTGCTGGTGTTTTTGGACTTGTTGATGGGTATATACACACTTGCTCAGACATTGAGACCGTGCCTGCAACTAGAATCTTATTCCATAGATCACATAGACTTGTTTGGCAAACGCCTGGGCCTACATGGTAAGTACTTCATGACATCTCACGTTAGATCATCCGCCCCGCTCCCTCCACACAGCAATGGACAACTGACACGGACAACACGATATGCCTAGCATCACTCTGCGCACGTTCAGCATGCAACTGGCTTTGAAGCCATTCGACCTGACACATATCTGGACCATCCTGGATGGTTTTGAAAGACCCATGCTACCATATTTCAGCCATCAAAATTAGGTTTGGCCATACGGCATTTTCAAACACATGCTACCACATGTCAGACACTCACTCCCATCTTGTTTGACTATTAGAATCTGTTACGCTTTCTATGGCAAAAAATCGCATTTCTGTACAGAAAATCGCATCGCGGTGAACCATTTAAAATTTAGGAACGCGTCGAAATCAGAACCCGGCTGATCCGGACAAGGAGCCGGGTAGGAAATCAAGGAGCCGGCTATTAAAATATGCCTAGAACTCGCCGTCACGGGAAACCAACAGGAAGTCTCTACCAGAAACCCAGAAATCCTGCAGCAATTTCCCTAAAAACATTCCGTCTGTTCCTGACGCTTCCGTTGTTGGCGGCTTTGAATCAAGGCAAAACTCGTTGTTTACCATATCGGATTCCATCACCAATATCATTATATATACGTGTATATATATATATATGTGTACCCATTATATGTTTACCATATTATTTGTATCATAATATTATATCCCATTTATACCATTGATTGATACCAATCAATACGTCTGGATAAACTACCCTCTGGTAAACGTTTACATAACTATGGAAAATCACCATTTTTAATGGGAAAATCAGCTATCAATGGCCATTTTCAATAACTTTTTGTAACAGTCATTACCAGGCCGGGTATAGTGATTCACCTGACCATCCAGTGACGCCGCGGAAAAACGGAACATTCGTTCTCCGGCGAACATATCATCTATGAACTAATCCCAAAGACCTCCATCAGTATATCCCAAAAAAGTAAAAAAAACATCCAGATCTACCCTCTGGTAATTTGTTACATAGCTATTGAACATGGCCCATAGAAATAGATGGTTTGCCGTTCTTAAAAATGGGTGGATCTTTCCATGGCTATGTTAAATAATCAAATGGTATTTCATGATATCCCCATTTTCATGTCAGTAAAGCAAAAATAACGCAGAAAAATAGATTTTCATGGTCTATCCAATCCATTTATGGAGATGAAAATTGCTATTGCTAACATGAAAATTGTTTAATTATACGGATTCATAGAGATTACTCTGGATTCATTAAGATCATTCAATCTTATGGATTGATAATCAAATTAAATATCACCATTAATCCCATTTATAATAATTTCCTATTAATCCCCAATTATTCCCTATTCATATCCCATCAATCACTATTATGGATAGTACATAATATAATCCATTATTCCATTATTCTTCAGCAATATTATGGGATATGATTAATAATTGATAATTAATCCATTAAATTTCATGGATTATTACTATTATATCAATATTATGGTTCCCTGGATGATATCCCATTGATCATCAATCCATAATATATAATCATCAATATATCCCTCAAGATTATGGATTGATAGTTAGTTTTGTCCCATTGATCCCCCCAAAAATCCCTATGAATCCCCAGCACCATCCAGCACCTCTTCCTGTAAGAGCTGCGCTTCACTGCGTGAACTACGTGAGGCGACCTTCGGCGCGATGAAATTTTCATGAAATTCGCAAGGGTCATGGAGAATCAATGGGATATGGAGGTTTCCTGTTAAATGGTGGTATCCCAATAGCTGGTTGGTTTACAAAGGATGACTCTTTTGGGTAGCCCCGTAGAGAATGGGATTTTCTGGGCGAAGATGGAATCCATGGAATCTATTCCGGAGATTCCGGGATGGGAATGTAGCCATGGGATGCCGATCAACTACCCAGCCTGGTATTTCACATTGGAAAATCACCATGCGATCAGAATGGAAAACTAGATCCCGAGATCCTCCATGGAGGCTTGGGAAAAGTCATGGGAAAATCATGGAACGAAACGGGGTTAAACATCGGGGAACTGAATCGATCTATGAAAATATCCGTGAAGAGATCGATTCAATCTATTCATACACATATATACACATCAGGGGGATTCAACCATATGATTCATGATTATTCAGCCATATTATTCAACCATATTATTCAACCATATTCATGATTATTCATGATTGTAACCATGAATATGATATATTATTACCAACCAATGATTATTCATGATTATCAGAGGGGAATATCATTGGGATTCAACCATATTCAACCAACCCCTCGAAAAAAGCGGTGGCCACCCCAATAGTTTTTCAGCTTAAGGGCAAATCTTAACCACCAACAACCACTTGGGAGGGTCGCTAAAATGTGGGGCTTGAATCTGCATGATTATAGTACCATATAGTACCACCTTAGATAGAAAAGCAAAATCCCTACTAAAATAATCATTATAATCACCATTGTCATAGGTTTTTCAGAAAACCATGAACAATCCCCATGGTATCACCACTTCGAAATCCCCATGTCAATGCCACTCCCGTCATATCCCGTCGGTGAAATCTCCCCATCACCATCTCTCCAAGGATGGCAGATCCTCAGGGATCTGTTAATTTGGGGAAGGATAAATCCCAGAGACCTCCCATGAACAAACCCCTAAATCGTCATCTTGATAGGGACAAAGGGATTATAAATCAAACAATTTGAGTTCCCGGTCATTTTCAGATAAACCTGAGATCCCATAGCAAATCGCCTCTATCGCTTGGCTCACCTGCGGCATGATGTGAAAGAATTCAGGACGTTCAAATTCTTGATATATTGGGATGTACTGGGTAGGAATTGGGATATACTGGGAATACAGTGGTATAAACTGGGTATATATATATATGTTCGGATATCAATGCATTCTGCTAGGATATCATGGGATTTGATGGGATATTTAATCACCGATGGGATATTGAATCCAATATAGTATATCTGGGTACTGTGGAAAAACGGTGATATACCACTACTTCAACATAAACACAAAAACACAAAATGAAGTTTGAAAGCATGGGACGGAACCGGTCGCCTATTAGCCTATTTTCAGACAAGTCCACTTCCACGATCATGTGTGGTGGATGGTTTCTCTGTGTTTCATAGACCATCTTGGTTTCTTTCATGGACCATTTCCATCCCTTCTTTGTTTCATATCCCCACTTTGGTTTGGAGGGGTTGAGCATGATTTAACCAACAAAAAACCACGTTTTAACCGGAACAAAACAATACGTATGGCCGGGGCTCAAAACTATTGAACCCAAATTTGGATGGTTTCAGGTTCTAAAAATGATCTGAACACCTGAAAACCGTTAGACACATGGTCCAAACATTTACCCCCAATCTGGGTCCATGACCACAAACCTGAGATTTGAATCTTTAGTTCCTATCCATAAAATGTATATTCAGCAAAGGTTTCAATTTGGATCCTGCCTTCGCTAAACGGATCCAGCAATCGCGGTCACAACTGGTGAACTCTGAACTGTTTCATGGTTAAATCATCATTTTTAGATGATTTTCACATCGACCCACTCATTTTTAGGAGATATCCCTTGCCATGATTGCTTTTACCCCCATTTTCATTGCTTATAAGCTGTTATGCTTGGGGGTCCATGTCAGTTAGTGTTAGTGGGTAATAACCATATTCCCTAGTTATATGTATATATATATATATATTCACATACGGAACAAACCCAGTTAGATTAATGGCTTGTAAACCACTTACTTCGCCAACCATATTCTAGCCAAAATTGACATGATTGACATATGTATATAATTATATATTGGAATATGAATGAACTATATAGATAATACATAATATATATATATATTAAAATTAAAACTATATTAAATTAAACATGTGGCTTATAAAACAACATTACGTCACCACTTACGATTCCTCTGTCCCTTTGGCTTCGTTGGTTTCCCGCCTCGGTTTCCAAGTCCAGCCCTAGGCGATGCAACCGCTCTGCAAAGCCCATGGCGTGGATTTTTTTGGTATCAATTTTGTTGGATTTCTGAAGAAAAGAAAGACAAGGCTATAATTCTATACTAAACATTACTAAACATTACTAAACTACTCTTTTTGGTTGTGGTTTTGAAACTGCCAAATATTGAGGCTGGGTTTTGAAAGAAGAATCAACCAAACGGTGTCGAACGCTGCCAGGTTTCGTGGTGGCAGCCCATCGGCTGAATTTCTTCAGGCCGCACTTTTCGGTCGCAAATTCTGTGTAAAATGCCAGATCAATCTGAATTCAGCCAAAGCTGGGCCGGCAAAACATGTTTGCCATCATGGAACCTGGAAAAATCTGAGCAAAAATCATGCGTGCCAACTGGGTTGCCACCCCAACATTTGCCATGAAATCTTCAGAGCATCCTGCTCCGCACCCAACGAATGTGTTGCTATGCTCATCTTTGCTGGCATCCCAACTTTGTGGCGGTCAAACATCTCGCAAAACACATCTTTTGTATCCGGTTTTGTCGATTAAATATCCATGTTCTCCAATCAACATTTACATGGATTCCAATAAAACTATAGTCATAACAGTAGAATCCACTCAACTTCAGGGCATTCCTGTCCCTTGCATAACTTGCAAATAATACTATGTCACTATGTAATACTATGAAAGGATCCATTACCTTTCCATCTCCAGATATCTCCAGTGCATCTCAGCATTTTTCTTCACAGCTCGCCAGGGTCGAAAGTTGTCGTCACATCGTGCCAGCCTGACGATCGGTTCATGGATCAAACTTTGACAATTGATTCATGGCAAATCTGAGATACCATTCGGGTATATTGAGTATTGATTTGAGTATTGATGTCAGATTTATGTACGGTGAATGTACTTTGATGTACTTCATCCAATTTTCTTTCTTCGGCAAGAAATTCCAATGGGTCTATTGCAAACGGTTCCATATCACCCCACTTGTTGATGGTTCGCTCCCCTTGTTTGGTGGAAACACACGAATAAACCCGTTTTGATGCCATCCCCAGGGAATTCTCAACCCAATCCGAGCTACAGAAGGCAAATTTTGGTGTACAATATATGTACTCAAACATGGATGGACAATTCGCCAAATGGAGGTTGTTCCCATTTGTTCCCCCACCAGGTGAGGGTCTCTAGATTTGAAGAAAGGCGCTCCTTCAACTCTGTCTTCGCTGAATCACTCCTGTCTTCCTCCCAGCTCCGGATGCAGTGGGCCACGCCTGGACCCGAACACATGCCAAAAGAAATGTCAGAAAAAATGTCAGAAAGAATGTCAGAATAGATGCGATATAATGCAAGAATATGCAAGATATCATGTCAGAATAGATGTCTAAAATAGATGCCAGAATGAATGCCTGAAAAGATGCCAGATCGAATGGCAGAAAGTATGTCAGAATATATGCCAGATGGAATTGCCATTGTGGCACAGTTGGAATCTGAGCAGTTGTCGAAAATGCCACGGGGATCACTCGAAGTAACAGATATTTTTTTTATGGGAAAATCATCGAACTAGATGATGTTTTTTCGGAATGATGAAATATTCTGGATCATCGAACTGAGTCGTTTTTATGGTCAAAATCATCTACCACATTTGATTACCGGAGGTTACTTCACTTGTGACCCACACGACCCAGTTTGGAGGTGACGTTCTCGTCGTCGACCAGAACTATCCAATCTCGTGGTCCAGTCAATCCAATTTCCTGGATAACTAATCTGAAAGCGAACAGAACTCACTGTCACTCTTTCTAAATAGTTCTAAATGGTTCAAGAAAACTGATCTACTTCTGAAAAATGGAGATTTCCAAGAAACAACTGGTAACCATTTGCTGTTTCGGAAACATACCACCAATTGGTTCACTTGAATTAAACATAATTTACATTAATTTACCAACCTTAAATGTGAGGCTATCTCGGGATAGTTCCCCGGACTTAAAACTGATAAGAGGTTTGTGGGCCATAGAAATCGGATGGTAAATCCAATGGAAAGCCCAAAGCCGATCCCATTAAATCCCATCATGTACCCCTAGAACCTACACATCTCTCTGGGAAAATTATAGTCACAAAACCCGCAAAACCTTGAATCCCTAGGTGCGCTCCATGCGGCCTTTTTCCACGTGAAGCACAAAGGGCTTTGGATATGCCCATGGTAAATAAATGTGACGCTTCTCTGATTTGTACGTGTCATTCAGACCAAACTTTTTAGTGCAATATAGTGCAATCATATAGTAATCTACTCTGAAAAAAGGCCATGTCGGGTTTTCGCCCGTCCAATTCCCATCATTAAACCGGTTAGGTCATGGCTGGGGTCGCTATAGTTTACCCATGATTTATTCCCACTATTCACATATATATATATATTTTTTTTCCCATCATATCCCATTCCATGAAATCCCCATTTCCATAGAAATCCCATTGAAATCCCATTGAATCCACTAGGAACATCCCCATGGACGCTGATCGAAAGCGATTTTCCACCTGGCATGCGCATCCGCGTGCGTTTGGCTTCGACCAAGGAATTGGTGATGGCCAACCTGTGGTTTCTGTGTCGGAACATGGGAACCTGGGGGAACATGGACCATGGATTGGATAGTGTGGATTCATATGATTTGATTATGTGGACTCAATGATTTGAACATCTTGGGGATTCATATGTTGAAAATCATCTCCATTTATTTTGGATCAGTTATGAGATGATAAGCAATGGATAATCATCTCCATTACTGAGATAAAACAGGGGGGAAATGAACGGGATCTCAATGGGGCACCATGTGTGACCAAATGATTAGTTGATAAAACAAAGAAACAACACCTGTAGGCCTGTAGGCGTCATGTTTTCTGGGAACAACTATTATGGTCAGCTGGGAATCTGGTGCGATTCGATGAGTTTCAAAACTATTCATAGTGTTCACCAACGGCCAGAATGGGACAACCAAAACATGCACACATATGGAATGTATAGATTACAGACAAACTATTGAAGGCTCTGGGGAGCAGAAATGGAACTGGCCTTTCTTCAACCACTTCTAGATATCCTGCAAAGAATTGCACCTGTTTGCTGGCTAGTGTGAGCCTTGAATATTAATGTATATATATATATATCATATGTCACTGTTTGTGGCAAAATATCAAGTTCGCAGCCTTCACCAAGGTCTAGTCATAATTCGATGATTCAATCCCAATCTTGTTGGCTAAATCATCCATCCAGTGTATGGAAATAGGAATATTTTTGTTAATCATCAGTGATATTTCAAAGCAGTTCCAGTGAACTGTTCATGGATATATTTCACCATAGTTGGTTGGGGTCCCCATATCCCAACTTAGGACGGTCCATGATCATGGTTATGCCAGTTATACCCTTGTGTAACCTTATCATTAACCTCAAGTATCACTATCCTATATGTATATATCATTAACCTCAACTGCACTCCCGTTTGTATCTCTCACTTCCCCAAATTTTTTCCCAGGTGCAACAATGACGCATCGTCTGCGGGACAGGTGCGAACCTCGTCTGCATTGGGTCGTTTTTTTTTTTCGGACAGGTGCCGTGTTCGAGGGGAATTTCATTGAATGTAACCAATGTAACCATGGCGTTTAATGGGTTTCAGTGGGTTTTCATGGGAATGTGATCATTATTCATGGGAAGTGTTGGGGATTTGAATGACATGAAATGTTGCGGATGTCATGGGATCACCGGGGCATAAATGGGTCATTAAATGTCCCCATTTTTCACATCACCCAACCATGAATGGTATATGGTCTATGCCATGGCTACTTTTTTAGGTGATGTCCAATATACCCAAAATGGGACAGTTACCAAGCCCTGTCTAAGTAGGTTCCATAGCGCCAGAATCAAGAATAAAACATGTATTTGCAAAGTATTTTTGCGGGCATGAGGGGTTTGACCCATACTTCCTTTATGGGGTTCCATACCCAGGAAGACCCAGCCACAATCCATGGACTGCAACGAAAATTGGGATATGTCCCATAACCAGCTCCCCAATTTGCGAACCCTGGGATGCTGACAGTGGGGATCTGGTCCCCCTCAACATACATTGCATTTTCAACCGAGAACCATGGGGAATCAATAGATTTTTGGGTACAGCCCACCTCTTTCCTGGGCAACTCCTCACTCCCCCAAGCGACCGGAAAATTTGGGATATCCATGGGACATAACCTGCAAAAAAATGAACATCTTGCATCCTAATGCAATTACAACCTAATGGTAAGGACCTAAATCCTGAACCATCCCAAAAAATGGTTTATAAAATTGATAAACTTGCTATACCCTGTATACCCCTATGACTGGGATGATTTATTTATCAGCCACAAAACGGTTGGTTTCTATGGGATGTTTTTTTTTTAATTTAAAATTGGGTTTACAACAAAAAGTGCTTTGTATGATAAGGCTGGCTAAGGACAGTACATCACCTGAAATGTTTGATGATTTGGCGATGATCTCCAGTGTTTTAGTCCGCGTTTTTTCGTCTTTGTAATTCACTCAGAATGTTGGTAGTGGGAATGCAATGGGAATACAAAAAAACAAATAGTTACCATACACCAAAAAGCACTTCATCAATACTAACCTCCCCAAATAAGGTGGAAATCAGCACTGTTTTAGTGGGATTTTACTTGGGCCTATCTTTTTTTGGGGGGTTGCTGTACATATAAATGGCTTGATCTGAAAATCGGGCACCCCAAAATCCAGTTTGAACCAACCAAACTGATTTAAGGAGCAAATATGATGGTGAATGGTGGTACAATCAACAAACATCGGAAGTAAATTGGCCACCAGGAAATGGGGGGGGTACTTTGTCAGACTGAGCTCGGGATGTACCCAACAAAATACCAGGCTTTTAACCTTGGGGGAGTTGATTATAATAACTATCATGCGAGCCATTAAAAAAATACCCCTATCCCATCTCATGAAATACGTTTGTTGGTTGAAAACGGTTTCCCAATCCTATGGGGCACATCATAATCAGTAAACCAGGCAGGATTAAATCCCCCAAAGCGCAATCAATTCACCAGGGTATTTCTAATGGTTCATGTTTCAAGACATAATGCTTTACAGATCCATGTCCGCCCGCTGAGGGTTGAACATGTGTCGTTGGCCCGTGGACCTAGGCGAGCAGTGAGCACTAGTGAGCATCCTTTGGGAACATGGGCACATTTAAATGAGGCTTTCCATAAATG